GGGGCGGGAGCCTCCTCGCCTAGCGGATGCACCACGCCTGGAACAGCCTGCCTTGAACGCAGCTTGAATGCCTGGGCGCTCGGTCGCCGGGGGAGACTTGCTCCACCCCCAGGAGCCGTCCCCTCTTCTCCTGCCACCAGCCTCACCCTCCCCTCCCTTCTCCCTTGGCAGGGAAGGGAGCCCAAGGACGCAGCTTGAATGCCTGGGCGCTCGGTCGCCGGGGGAGACTTGCTCCACCCCCAGGAGCCGTCCCCTCTTCTCCTGCCACCAGCCTCACCCTCCCCTCCCTTCTCCCTTGGCAGGAAAGGATGCTCAAGGACCTGCAGAAGAGCGTGGAGGAGGAGGAGCTGGTGTGGAAAGCCAAGCTAACGACGTCGGAAGAGGAGCTGCAAAAGGTGCGTCCTAAATATTCTCAGGGGTGTGTGAGCGGGAGTCCCTGGGGCACCGGTGTCTGCGGGGGCCGAAGCCACGTCTGAAATACCCAGGGGATCCCAACGATCCCCTTTGCCCTCGATCTGTGACTCGCAAGGCCCTGGGGGTCCCTCGCCAGGGAGGGGCCCATCTTGCAAAGGCTCTAGGGTTGAACGTGGTGTAAAAACCCATCTTCCGAAATGAGCCTAAGGTCGGTGCCACTTCCCTGGCCCTCTGCAGGAGTGAGGGGAGCCTGTGTACACACAGGGCAGTGAGAGGGAAAGGGATCCAGAGGTCACACGCTAAATGCGAGTCCACAGGGTGACGCTGTTGCAAAACAAGCCAACATGCTTCTGGGTTGGCAGGAGTGTCGTGAGCCAGACACGAGAAGGCATTCTTACGCTATACCCTGAGCTGGTTAGGCCTCAGTTGGAGGATTGTGTCCATTTCTGGGCACCGCATTTCAGGAAAGATGTGGAGAAATTGGAGAAGGTCCAGAGAAGAGCAACAAGAATGCTGAAAGGCCTAGAAAACATGAGCTCTGAGGGAAGGCTGAAAGAACTGGGCTTGTTGAGTTGGGAAAAGAGAAGACTGAGAGGGGACATGATAGCAGCTTTAAACACCTAAAAGGATGTTACAAGGAGGAGGGAGAAAAATTGTTCACCTTGGCCTCTGATGCTAGGATAAGAAGCAATGGGCTTAAATTGCAGCAAGGGGAGTTTAGGTTGGACATTAGGAAAAAAGTCCTACTTGTCAGGGTGGTTAAACACTGGAATAAATTGTTCAGGGAGGTTGTGGAAACTCCATCCCTGGAGATATTTAAGAGCAGGTTAGATGGACAGACATCAGGGATGGTCTAGACGGTGCTGGGTCCTGCCGCGAGGGCAGGGGACTGGCCCTGATGACCTCTCGAGGTCCCTCCCAGTCCTAGATTCAGTGGAAGAAATCTTCAGAATAAGCCTCTTGCCTCCCTGAGATCCAGACAAGCCCGTTTTGCCGTGGCGCTGGGGAGAGAATTCCATTACTTACCTTGCCCCAGGCACATCCGAGCATGGTCTCCCTCCTGCTTCTGAACCGAACCCCAGCCCCTCCACTGCAGGCCAGGGAACCTGGAAAGCCTTCTGGTGCACGTTCCAGGAGCGGGCACTGGCGGAGCAGGGCGGGCGCTGGCGGAGTGGGGCGGGCGCTGGCGGAGCGGGGCGCACCCGGCGCTCTTTGCCCGGCTACTCCTGGGACGCTCCACATCCGAGCATGGTCTCCCTCCTGCTTCTGAACCGAACCCCAGCCCCTCCACTGCAGGCCAGGGAACCTGGAAAGCCTTCTGGTGCACGTTCCAGGAGCGGGCACTGGCGGAGCAGGGCGGGCGCTGGCGGAGTGGGGCGGGCGCTGGCGGAGCGGGGCGCACCCGGCGCTCTTTGCCCGGCTACTCCTGGGACGCTCGGCTTTAGAGGACGTTGGCTGCCTCTACCGGTCGGGCTCGGGGCCGGGGGTGGGGCGGGCG